ATATAGTAGTAGCCATGTGAAACTACAATACAAGCTGCTTACGTCTCTCTCATTGGCTCTCCAGGGAACATCGTTTTTGACTTTAGATATAACTAACTACGATAATGTTTTAAACGATCATTATGATCAATTCGCTTTTGTTCTACAAAAACAAAAAGAAATCCCGTTTTGTAAAATTATTTCACGCCAATAGCTAAATATACTCATAGTGGCCTTTGACACAATCTAGCATTTCGCCACAGCACTAGTTCTTGGAACGGATGACTATCATTTTATTAATCATCATTCCGATACTCGTTCAAGTGTTAGCCAAAATGTGGCCATTTGATATAAGGCACAAGCTGAGCTTCTCGAAAATTACTTCTCAGCCTTAAAATTTTCTTTTTCCATTTTTGTGGCACTTTCGTTGATTCGATGACGGTGACATTGCTGTTGGGACGTAAATTCCAGCAGCATTCGTTTCATCACTAATCAATCTATTCCATTGACTATAAGTCTATGGTCATACGAAAAACTATAAAGTGTTTGTGTGTTTGTCCACACTGAGGTGTCACGGACGTAAGCACACACGGTGGCGGACACACATACACAGAAACTACTATCCTCATAGAAACTAATGAGTGTCACAGACGTACATAGATATAGTCATGTGTTAGTGTGACGGACGTATATCCAAATAGTGACCAATGAGTGTGACGGAGGTACTTAGGTTTTTGGCTTCATATTAGGTGGTGCGCTTTTCTTGTGATATCAGAGTAGTGTAGAATATTTATCGCCTATCCTAGCTGCGACCTGAGAGCGAAGGGAGGGGTGAGGATTGTCTCTAATTTTGAAATGTTTTTACACCTTTTTTTTTATCTTTGGGGGTCTCGAGGAAACGTTTTGGATGTATATTAGATGGTGGAGTTTACACATCGAAGCCAGAAATATTTATGACATATCGTAGATGGCCATCAGCGAACACTGACCGAAGTTAGGTGTGAGCATTTTCTTCTATTCAAAGTCATGCGAGGTCGGTCGCAGACATAAGTGCCTAAAGTCAAGGGAACGGATGTAGACGAGCGTTGCGAAAATTGCTAAATAAATTTCTCTTCCGTTTGTTTGGTTTATCCATGAAATATCTGATAGCCGTTTTTCGTATGTCGTACACACTTAGACAGACGACCATTTTGAGGACCCTAAAGCTAGCCTTTTACAGATACGATTAACAGCTGCTGTTATGAAAGGGTTTTACTAAAGATGTAGTACGCTGTCATCGTAGAAATACTGCTCAATTCTGCAGTAACAAGATCGAGTTAGAATAAAATGAATAATATTCACGCCACTATATTCATTCGACTTACAGTCAATGGACTGACGGAATCCGTGTGATTCACATTATTTATTCTTAATAGAAGAAAAATATATATTTATAATATTCATTCAAACTGTATTAAGGCCGTCTGAGATGTTTCAAATTACTCATTCCACCTATGTAGCTATGGCTTTAGAAGGAAAGGCTTTCTAATGAACGATGGACTTTCTGTTAGAGACCAGGACAATATATCTGGATATTATTTTTCGTTGTGGTTCGTTGCTTTAGCAGTTAGTGCTTTGTGCGCACTTTATCGATTTTTAATTTATTTATAATTTATAAGCAAGGATACAAAAGTTTATAAAGTGTACGATGTATGCCACAGTCGTTGCTAAAGAAGATAGAATTGTGGAGTAAGCTTAACAGATGCTCCATTCACGTATTCTTGATAGTTTTTGATTAAATGGCACATTTCATTAAAACGAATGACTGTCATTTTATTAATCACCACTCCGGCACTCGTTCAAGCCTTAGCCAAAATATGGCCATATATCTACATTGTTGTTTGACTACACCCTCACCCTCACGGTAAGATCAATTTCTTCTACACTGGGACAAACAGAGAAAGCACGTCGTATTACAGCAATTTTTTGTACGAAACGACAAATATTGTTGAGAATCATTCCATTAGATACTACACAAAAACGCTCAACGATTATCAACAATAACACGATACCGATGCCGGACTTGCAGATTGTAAGATTATCGACGAACAATCATGTATTTCTTCTTTTTTCAACACCAGTCGAAACTTTCGACTTGAAAGTACTTAATATCTTTTTGAAATGAACTGTATATTAAAAGTGAAAAATATGAGTACATTTTACTTTGTTCTCACAAGTCTTGGATGGAAGGTCTCGCAGATCTGGCAAAAGAATGATGATCTAGAAAATACTTCCAGTCACTTCTACGTCGATCGAGTGTACACACTTAGCCAATAACGAAAATTTTATTAAAATCTAATTGCATTGGAATTTAAACTTCGAAAAATAGCTGAAATACCGCATAGCTGCATACTTGTACTTTATCACAAGGATCTTCTACTCCTTGTTAACTACTGTGAAATCTTGAAACTATGTATCCAGCGACGAAACCAAATCTTTGTGATCAACATTACCACGCAGCATTGACCTTCATATATGATGATGTGCGCAGCTGAATAAGTTTTAGAACTTCGCGCATTTGTTAATTAATGTAAATTGCCTTACCTCGCGCAGTTCTGTCGATCAGTTAAAATTTTCTTCGCTGACTATTAATAATAATACTGGGTAATTCCACCAGAAATCTCCCGCATATGTAAAATATTCTTCAAACTTTTCAATGTTCAATGTATCAATGTTTTCTGATGTATCTTAGACAAGATATGGTAAAAAACCGACCAGTGTTGTCAGATGATTTCTGCTAGACTTCGTTGTCGACATTTCAACAACTATAAAGAGGACTGAAAAGCGGCTAATGCCCAAGTGTAGAGCATGTTTAGACTACAAATCTAATATCTGAATTTGCCTTGGAATATAGTCAGTTTTTTTCTAGTCGTCAAAAGTTTACCATTTTTCATACATTGGTACCAATACAAGCATTACCACCAACCAACCGTTTATATTCAAATGGTGCTCTATATAGCAATCGATAGCTTATAAGGGAGGAATTGATTGCATATATTGCTGTCGCTTAAAAGTGGATAGTGTAGGGCGAAAAGCTGTACCATTTACCATCGTTTTCGGTAAAAAGGGATTATTTTGCTAATTATCCAAAAAAAGAATATAGGCTCTGAAAATTTTTCTGATTAAGCAGCTGTAAAGAGCATGACTTGAAGTACACAAATATATGCTTAGATGCCATCTATGCCGCTTATTGGTAGAGAACATTAATTTTCAAGTTGACCGTAATCGGCGGTGGTGACCTTAATGTGTCACCTCCACCGTCCAAGGATTTAACTTTTTCGAAAAAAGAAATATATCTCAGAAGTCACGAAGGATAGTTAAATAAATGCTGAAAGATTCATTGAGTTTGAAGAACATTTTACAGATAGTGGGAGGTTTCCCATGTATCCCACCCTACTGCATGTATAGTGATTCGTTTTAAGCAATCACCACATGTGAAAAAAAAAGAGTATTCTCTCAAAAATGTTACTACGTGAGTTACTACTTTTGGGTCTTTGAGACTACGTTTCGAGAAGGTCTTCGAAATATTAAAAACGCGTTTACTGTTCTCATACTCTTTTAATTTTTTGATAATCGATAAAAAGAGCAAAAGATCCATTCAGAAATATGGTGCTCACTTTATCTAGAGGTGGATTAGGCAGAATTTTTAAGAGGATCTGTTAAGTCTTATCGAGCACTAGCAAACAAGATGAAGAGATCCAATGCATTTTAAGAATCATACTCTTATAGAATTAGCGGCTTGAACTTATCCAATAGCATCATGTTGAAAAAAACAGTAAACATATCATTATAGAACAATAAATGAAAAAATAGAATAAATAGAAATAAATTTTCTTTATACCTGCACGAACTTTTACCCGTTCTGCTTCGTGCTGTAAAATCCTCATCTGGTTGAAATACGAAGAAAGTGTGACTGTAGCCGCACTTTCCCAGAATTCGAGAATATTTTGCAGCACAGGGAAATTGTTTGCTGCAATATAGCGAGGAACTACAGTTAGTTTGCTAGAGCAGTTCGGAAGAGGAAAGTGCGGAACATGCTACAAAAGCGAAACCCAATTTCTCAACATTCCTCTTAGTGTTATTATGTATTCGAATAAAAATCAAGACAATGTAACTTTCGAAAACAGAATTGGGTTCACGAAATACGTCTAACACAATCGAGAAGGTACTTTCTAATACTCTGAGGAGTCTTCGACCTCCTGATTCTGAATATGTAATAAATTTTTAAAGTTTTTAAAGGTATTTTCTATAACCTTTGATCGAGTCTCCTGTTATGCTTTAGGGTTTAGAAAAAGTTTAAGAATAAAAGAGTTTTAGGAAGTAACTTGTTTGGTGTTCGAGGATTCCGTTTTGGGTATGCGGAACAGAGTTGTAACCGGCCTAAAAATAAGAGGCCGGACCGGGCCGGCCGGTCCAGGAATCGGTTTAGACTGGTGAAAAACCGGCTAAAGACCTGCCAGTTTTCAAATATTTTCTAGACGGACAAGAGGGCAGAAAAACTCATATTTTTTAGTGAAGAAGAGAAAAATGTTAAGAATTACAAAACCGGTCAATCACCGGCTGGCTTGAAAATCTTTCTAGACCGGTAAAAGACCGGTGGAGACCGGCCGGTCTAAATTTTTATACCGGACCAAGCCAGCCGGTTTGCAGGACCGATTACAACTCTGATGCAGAAGTATTTGTTTTACTCAAAGAGTGCGCGAAAGTTCAAATACCGAAAGGGCTTTTCTAGATCAATTCGGATACGGAAAATAGTTTTCGAAAAAGCTTTTGAAGCATTTGGGGTTGAGGCTTGTCATGTAATGGGAATTCAAAAAGTCTCCATGCAGCTTCAGGTGCGCTAACATATCTTGCATCAGGATGTGCTTTAATTTCATCCCATTCCAAAGTTCCTTAAGCGACAGCACCTTCTTGAACCGGTCGTTCCAATCTAATGTTAGCACAATCACGTCCGATGTAAATGTATTTAAATAAATAATTGACTATCCAACTATTGTCAACTTCATACTTTCTTGTCCTATTCGAAGTTCTTCTTCCTTCCTGATACTTTTTGATTCAAATGAATAAGGAACAGATGTTGGTGATGGTATACCAAAATCACTGCAACTTCGACCTTGTTCTTTCAGCTTTTCATCGAGCATATAAAATGCCATTGCTTCTGCTGTTTCGGCATCGATGAAGTCCTCGGCCATATGTGCTTTAAACGAATTCCAGAGATCTATCGGTTTTGTTGGATTACAGTATAGAAGTATCACACAGAAAAGTGTTCTTAGTTGTTGTGCCATCTGGAAGATAACCGCTTCAGCCATACATCTTTCATATTCAGTATCATCATGTAATAGGCCTCGTCTTTCAGCAACTTCCATAAATGTTTGACAGACTTGGCCGTCTACTGTTTTGAGATCATCAAAACTACAGGCACCAGGAGTATGTAACAGTAATAATCGAAGATGGTGGCGTTCTACATCACTAGGACTGACGGAGTACATTCTACCGATGATGTTTTCACCTTGTAGTCGACGCCTCCATGTTCCATTGCGTTCAAAAACAAAGTGTTGTGGAACATCATGGTAAAGATATTGTCGAGCATCTTGATTTTTTGAATGTAATTTCGACCATGCAGTAAGTGTCGTGTCTTTCGTTGCCTGTGAATCTACCTATCCCTTCACTCACCCTTAAGTTGACTCTGGGGCCGCTATCATCCTACCCACATAGATTATGGCGCCCTCTGCCAGTTCACCCACCATCCGGTTAACTATGGCGCCTACTATCATCTCCATCTATATTCACTGTGTGGGTGGCGGCCTCTATCCTTTGGCTCCATTTCGCATTGTCTGTGGCGGCTTCTATCACTCGCATCCATTTCAGCAAGTGTCGTGTCCTTCGTTGCCTGTGGGGTCCTCTATCACGTCGCTCACTATTTCGGCGACTCTGGCGCCCTGTATCATCATTCCCACAGAGATTGTGGCGCACCCGGTCGCCTAACCCACCATCCAGCTGACTGTGGCGCCCTCTATTATTTGGCTGCATTTTCCATTGACTGTGAGACTAACTATCCCTCCATGCACTAGTTACTGCCCTCACTACCAAACTGGGTCACATTTTCTCATGAAACCAAAGATAATCTCTGATCATTCAAACACCATTTGATATGCCGTGAAAAGCTCTAGAATATATGTTAATAAGAAACTTAACGAATACTAGACTGTTCCATTGGTCGGAGGTACGGCAAGGGTACTCTTTGATCATCTTTTACTATGAAACTAAAGATGATCTCTAATTATTCATATATCATTCGATGCGCCGTGTAAAGCTCTACAATATATGTTAATAAGAAGCTTAACCAAGATTGGCAGCACGTTTTATAAGTTTAATACTAGACTTTTCCATAGGTCGTGGCCACGGAAACTCTTTATCACTTTTTTCTATGAAACTAAAGATGATGTCTAATTATTATACATCATTCGATGCGTCTTGAAAGCTCGAAAATATATGTTAATATTAATTTATTATTATTCGATGCGTGTTGAGAAGCTCTATAGTATATGTTACCAGGAAACTTAACGAAGCCTGGCGGCGATTTTTGTGTATTCAACACTTCGCTGCTTAATCCCACAGTGGAACCCATCGTTGTGCGCCACCATTCCTTTTCATTTTTCTCGTCGACCATTAAAGCTAGAACAAATTTGCAAAAAGATTTAAACAGCTGATGAAATTTCCGATCTCAGGTGCTATATGCAAAAGTTCTATTAAAGCTTCCGAAACCAGGCTCTGTGGAAAACTAACGTCTCACGTGTGTTTGCTAACGTCTAGAGCAAACATTTCCGAACAAAATGAGATGTCTTCGAGCTCTTTGCGACATTGTTTCATGAAACAACAGTCAATTTAGGGAAAGACCTAGGCGTTTTTCAGTAAGTTTTGGTGCTATGGGGC